CAGGAGCCTCTCAGGCAGAACAGGTAGACATCATTTGACACTGAGCAGTTCCACTGGGAGGAACTGACATAAAAATCCAGTCTCCATTCATACTGTGTTCAAACAGACAAAGTTTGCTAAAATGCAAAATATAACTAAAACCAGAAGTTCCCAAACTGAAGAGTCAGTGCAATGCTTCCTTATGATGTGGTAACAAGTTCCCCAGGACAACACCATCCCAACCTGAATGAAGAAACTCAAAATAAAAAACATCAGTGGATAAGACTAATGGGGGAGCTCAGATGAGAACACACACTGGATAAATGACTCATCCCAACAGACCTCACATATTCTTTCAGGAGCAATTGAGAAGTCAATTGCACAGCTTTTGAACTCAAGCAATTCAGTGCTGATGACAGAATGTTGCTAAATCCCACCAAACCCACAACCATTTGCACCTACAAAGTGTTGTCAGGTCTGTATTTTCACAACAGCTAAAGGCTGTTTGATCTGGCAACTACAACAAGTCCACATACATTAAAGGCTGCTAAGGACAAGACCTTTACCTTCCATCACCCCGTGCAGAGCAGCACTGCAGTAAAACTGCAGCAGTCCTGCAAGGTTGTGGAAGTGAGGAGTGAGCTGATTTGTCCTGTTTGCAGGACAACTTCCCCAGAAAAACACTCGCTTCCAGAGGAGAATTTGACTTCCATCAGCAGGAGATTCCGCCCCACATATTGATAATAAGATAATTTTTTTAATAACCTACAATCTGAGGAATGAAGAAACTGTTGAGATTATGCCCTTATAACTATTGCTCTCCCCAGTTTTTGTAGGAGAGTACTTGATGCACCTTCAGTTATCTAAAATTTATTTGGACAGATCTCATCTCACTTCCTAATGATACTTTCTTATAAATTAAAAATAAAAAAATTACAACTTTAATAATTTTTACTTAAAATTGAGAATCCTGCTCCTTGATCTAAATCCTAACACTGTTGAGATCACTCCCAGTGACGCCGTTCGAACTGCCCAGTTAGTCCACTGCTGTAATGAAGAGCAGATGTCAGTTCTGGACGATTGGCCAGCCTGGAGGAGCACACTCAGATTTCCTTTTGACTGACTTGTGTGTTTCCTTCCTGTGGAAGCAGGAATTGGGCCAGAGGGAAAAGGGAGGAGGGCTGCACACACCCAGCTCCACAAGCCCAGTACAGACTGAACTCTCCACAGTTCTCTCCTCAGCCTCAAATCTTCCAGTCACTAACAGTCCTTTGTTCACACTAATCAGTATCTCTTGTTCACTCACTTGATATCAACCGGATCTTTACAGTCTGCTGCAATGCTCTAGTCTTTGCTTCTTTCCCAAAGTCCCTGAACCAGAATACATATGCAAATCCCAGCTATTATAATACAGATTCAGCTGCTTTATGAAATTAATTCTTTTTTATGAAGACCCTTATGATAACATCTTAGTAGCGGAAAGTGCCTATACTCAAACACATTGTGTCAGGCCACAACATATTTTATGATAGGATTAAAAAATTGTATGTTTCAAAAAATTAATTTTGAGCTTCCTTTAGATGACAAATACATTTTCTTCCTTTTTTTTAATATGAGGGTAAAAGGCTTTCTTATATTTTTGAGACTGCCTTTGAGAAAACAGTAAATGCCTGGGACTTGTAATAATGTTGCAAGAGTTACAACACACTGCTGTTTCCTGATACTCTTATGCACTGTTTACTTACCAGGCTTTAAAATACAAAATTTGTAAGAATCATTGCTATTTCAAATTTATGTTTTTTATTAAAATTTTAATGCAATAAAAGCTTAGATATTATTAATGATAGGGCTCATGCTGTGTACATTTAGTATTAATACTTGCAATCACTATGAAAACAATTTCTAGTTTAAGAGTACACAGGTCCAAATTTTGCCTGTGGCAACATCCACTTAAGCAAATGAGATTAAAGAATGCATATCTGCAGGCAGAATCTGGTTCATTGCCATGTCCATGTCTCATACAGCACACCAATGCACTCATGAAGAGTTAAATGCATATTCCACTGACTTCAGCAAGTCTGTTTTCTGCCTTTTCTGGACTGCTTTCCTGAGGGGTTTAGTTAAGTGGCCATTAAAATGCTTAAAATTACATAAGAATTCAGTAGGCCTAACAATATTGTGTTTTCTAATAGACATTTAAAAGGAGCTAATGCATGCATGGAGACATCATAATAATAAACAAAGATGGATTTCCAAATGATATATAGAATTAGAATATTTGCAGTGTGGGCCAGTCCTCAGAAAATGTGCTAACCCAAAAATTCTTTTCAGATTATCCAGTTCCTGAATTTGAATTTCTATGTGTACATATTTGACAGTGTACAATGTACATGAGCACAAACTGATTTGGAGAGAAATGCATCTGCACATCAGGTGTGCTGTTTGAGAAAGAATTCTGCTGCCATGCTGTGGTTTACTCCATGGGGAGGGAAGCAGAACCATCCCACTGATGGCTCAGAGTCCCTGTTTATTTACCTGTGTATTCTGCAGAACAGATTCATATGGAAACAGAGTGTCCTCACTGGTGGAGCTGCTTGTCACTCAGCCTTGGCTGCAAATGGGTAAGTCTTTTTGTTTGGCCACTTACAGGAAATAAAAATGCTAAATAGCTTATTTTACTTTACAGATCAGATGAAAATCTATTGACTCCTTGCATTCTAAATATGTCATGTTTGGAGTGTATTGAGAGCAAGTAGTTCTCCTAGAGACACAAACACTGTATTTTCTAATGAATTCTAAATTATTTAAAGTGATTTAAAGATTTGTGCTTTTTTTGGATTACAAGGTCAATAGCCAAAGTGACAAAATATATTCTTCCTCTAAGCAGTTCAAGTGTCTACTTTTCAAAATAGTGTCTTCTTGTAGGGTACTTTGACCTTTTGGATTTTGTTTGTACAATGAAATCCTAGTCCTGCCACTCCAACAGCACACTCCTGCAGACTTCAAACAACAGCAAATTTTCTGTGGCCAAGGCCTTATTACCCCTCTGTAATAATACAATTTAGTATGCTTATATCTAGCAGATAGAAGCTTCTGTGTAGGCAGTTTTCTATGGTATTTGATTTGTAAAGCTCTGTTTGGAGGGTTGGGTTGCTATTGCAATTGTTTTGGCAGGATGGTGAGCAACACATAGGTTTATTTGTAATGTATTAAGCTCTTGACATACTGCATTGCACTTCAGAGGTTCTGCAATTTATTATTATTTTTTGTTGTTGCAGCTCGTCTTTAGTCCTTCCCAATTTATTTCCTTTTCTTTTCCAAACAAAGCTAGGATTGTTAATAGCTAGATCCAGTTACAAAGCTAATTTTTAATTTACCATTGTCTGGCCAAGTTTTGACTAAATAGAAAAACTCTGCAAATGAGCTCAAGAGACATGATCCAGTAGCCAATAGCACCAAAATACCCTCTGATTTAAAGGTCCCTGGAGTTAATGCTTTTGTTACTCTTGGCCATAACCACTTTCTGAGGCACTGCTTTTGGGAAGTTTTCATAATATGATCACTGCACTGGCAAACAGCTTTGTTTGATCCAGGGGCAACACTACAGTTTGCTTTGGGTAGTTTTTGCCACAAATTTCTATTGATTTTCTTAAAGTAATTATAACATTAATCCAAAAAAGGAGCATTTTCCAGAACACCCAACAGTGGGAAGAAAGGAAGGGTATGCTCTTCCTTTTTATTGAATATCATCTCCACAGATTTGGATATCCTGCAGATCAACGTGGTAAACAAACATTTGAATTAATATTTCCTATATTTATTTGCTGTATAAACCATAGAACTAGCTCCCTGAAAATCTGTGCTGTTTATGCCTAAATCTTTCACTTGTTTCGGCATAGCCTAACTGCAGACAACTAAATGCATTAATTTTCAGGATATTTTTGGACTTGTGCAAGAGGCAGTGCAGAACAGTAACTGATGGACCAGGGAAGGAGAAAAAGGAAATGTCTTCTGATCCCTCAGGAATCAATAAGTTTGTCAGAACTCCTTCCAAGCTCCTTGTTCTAGACTCAGCAAGCCTGAACTTCAGGCTTTAGAACTTCAGTTCTAAAGGAGTTAAAAATTGTTGGGAAGGTGCTGCTCTTGCTTAACCTCTCAATGTTTCTTTGAGGGGGAGGAGGAAACATTCCCAAGGCTGGAGTGGGAAGGGGTGTGTGAGTCAGGTTCTTTACCTAGGATATACTGAGGTTTGTAGAGATCTGAGACACTTTCTACAAGCATACCAAAGCTCTTAGGGATGGTAGCAAAGAACCCTCTGATCCCTGTAGAGGGAAAGGAAAAGGGGGACAAAGGTGTGAGAACCTTGTTATGGCTCAGTGGTTTTTAAGGGGCTAATGAAATTATGGCATAGCAGCTCCTTTGGATGGACTTTTAAAAAGCCATGAAACAGGAAAGGTCCATGTCACTCTTCTTTCTCATTGTTTTCTCCATCCTGTCCCTCACAAAACTATAAATAACTATATATAAAAACTATAAAATAGTAAAATTGTCCTACAGCACACTTCCTATTTATTCAGTTATAGAAATGGCAGCACTGACATACAAGCCTACATATGAACTCAGTTTCATTGATGAAACTTCCCAATCAACACCAGCTCATAAGTATTACTTATGCTGACATGGCAGTAAATATAACTTCTTTTTGAAAAGTGAGCACAGAAAGGGTATAGTGGTACTGTATACTCTGAATTAATAATCTGGAGGATTCTTGCACAGATTTTTGGAGAAAAATACAGTGTAAATTTTGTTACTGTGCTTTCATTGGTACGCTGGTTTTCATTGCGACAAACTAATGGATTGGTATTACAAGGATGCCTATAGAGGATGGTGCCTTATATTCTTCTCATTAGGAGTTTTGGCATAGCATTTCCATTTTGGGAGAAGTCAGATTACAGCCTGTCTAGGCAGAGATAATTTTATCAGAAGCCATATAACAGTTGGACAAGTAATCAGTCAATTACCTTACTGATCAGCAGCTCCCTCAGCCTGAAGGCTTCTCTTTCTCAGAGTCAGTGGCAATCGTAAGGTTCCTTTCTTCCAAATTCACTTGTATTCCTGTTCAGATAAATCCAAAGATCTTGTTAGCCTGGTTTTACTTACAGCCTCTTACTGCATAGAGCATGCCCTGATCCCTGCTAGCTACAAAAATACTGAACTTGTTCATCATCTTGACAGATACATGATAAAGCATAAACTGTAGCTATGTAATCACTGTGAGTACAAAAGCCCCAACTTATTATCCCACTTGTTACATTACAAATTAATGAGATCAAAGCTTCTATTGCCAGTCCATTTACATATCTGAAAATTGTCTGTAAATCAATGTTTCACACTGAACTTTCACCATCCAATGCACACTATGCTAGTAAGATCAATATTTGAGTTTGTATTTCCATTATACTGCCTCTCCTGGTCATGATGGCTACTCAGCCTGCACTTTCAGAGTGCTCTGAAAGCTCCTCATGTGTAAAAGGGAATTCTAACTACTGAAAAAAAAAAAGACTTATCTCAAATACAAAGGTAAATTGTGTTCACTGCATGGCAGCTGGTAGTGGGAAGTGCAAGAGATACCTCTGTTCATTTATGAATTCTGGCTACTTTCGAAAATACTGTCTAGGACATGGCAAGACAAGCAGGAGGAACTGGCATGGAATGGCATGGCTTGGCTTGTGTTTGCACACCAGCAATTCTGCTGGCAGTGACTTTGCTATCAAACAGCTTCACTGTCAACTTAGCCAGGTAGAAGGGGGTACTTGGATATAACACGTTTTCCTTCACATCATCATCCCTCATGCAAATTAGGGAAGGGAAAGGCAGGAAAAAAGTCAACACCTTTCAGATTCTTAGCACTGCACTGGGGGGAGGGAGGGAATTAAAAAAAATACCACTCAAAGTGGTATTTTTGTAGCCTGTACTCAAAGTACATCAGTCCAACGCAAGCCTGAAAAGCAGAACCTGGAGAATCTGTTTACGGGAAAAGCCTGTAGTTACCTGGCACTGTGTTAATATTCTTTTAAAAGTATTTATTCAGCTTCTAGCTAAGATAAAATATGGATGACAACTATTCAACAATTAAAAATCAAAGTATGAGGTGTTGAGGGAGAAGAAAGGAGACTATTTTTAACAGTAAATATTTTCCTATAAGGACAATATTCTGCACTGATTAGTAAGCGGCACCTCAAATACAGTGTATGATGAAGCATGACTAACCTCTTTCTAGTACTTTGAGTTGTAAGCAACACCTTTGGTTTAAAAATCAGGTGTTTTGTTGTCATATTACACTTGCAAACTTATCTCTGTGGGAGGGGAATGTTTAAGTAACTTCAGCTCTAATGTTTCAGCTCAGTGGAAGTGAGGCTGTCATGCTTACAGTGGTTGGCTCAGCCCACAGTTCCACTTTCCTGAAATCCCTGGGAATTGACAAGCAGGGTTGTCTCCTCCACTGACGCTCCATACTTGTAGGATTCTCATTTTTGCTCCTTCAGCCCCAGAGCTATAAACATCGCCCCTGAGAGCCACTTTGAATTCCCATTCCCATCTAACCTCAAGGCAATTACCAGAAACTAGGTGGTGTACAAATGAAGCAGCAGCCACTGCTTTAAGTGCCAGTCCCTCCTATCCAGAAACTTGGAATACATGAGCATAGAGAAATGTAAATTTTCGTGAACAGTGCTGACTGTTTATGGCACTGGATATTCTTGTGTAGGATTCCCAAGTGATTGTGAACACAAGATGTGTTTGGCAGTTAGAATAGAGCTAAAGCTAATACCAGAGTGCAAGACACCATAAGAGATTACCAAGCCACCAAAAGCCATCTACCCCAGTTGAATTGCTCATAGTGTTTGGTAGAATTAGTGGTGCTTTAACTGGCAAAGCAACTCTTTCATAGTGTTCCCATCATTTTGCCTTCTAGCAAGATGTGAGATTCCTAACAGCTGTACAAGGGCACTAATGCTGTGCTTCAAATAAGTGAAGGTGCAGCGATGTAAGGTCATGCCACTAATTTTTGAATAGTGACCAACATAGTGTTTTTACTCAGCATAATAGTTGGTATTTGTGTAAATACTCGAGGAATAGGGATAGTGTTGCTGGAATTCACTACAGTTCTTACAGAACAGGTAATCTCTGGGACTGGGAAACTGCTCATAAACTTGCACGTACAGTCTGAACTGGAAGAGTCATGGTGTGCTGGATTTTTAGGAAACATCCAAAGCAAATGTTGACAGCAACTTGCACAGAACTGTAAGAGAGGGCAAGACACTGAAGAAAACAATGTAAAGCAGACAGCTTGGCAATCACACGAGAACAGCCAGCTTTCCTTGCCAACATCACACTGTGGTAAGGGCAGGACCTTTTAAGCCATCTGAGCAAGCGAAGAGGCTGTACCAACACCAAAACCTTCAAGACAGCCAAGAAGCCGAATTACGGTCTTCAGAGCGTGCTTGTGAGTCACGGTAAATACCATCACCCTGCTGACAAAGGCCATGTGAACACCAAACTGGAGAGGGCACAGCTGGTGACTGATGTTTGCCACTGGCGATGGTGGCTGGTGAGCCCCTCAGGCGCGCGGCGGTCGTGAGGCGCGGGCAGCGATCCCTCTCACCGGCGCTGCCCGGGGATGGCTTTATGAGGACAGCTTTCCTCAGCTCTCCACACACACGTTTTCCTCCGTGACGAGCAAGCCCAGGCAGCAGCGAGCCGAGCCTGGCGCGCCGGGCTCGCGGCCAGGACGGCTCTGCCCTAACGTGGCACTCGCTGCCGCCCGGGGCGGCC